GGCCATTATTGTTTTCCTGTTCATTCCAAGCCACTATGTGGATATCTGACTGACAGTCTCGTACTTGAGCCTTTCGTGTAACCACACACTTCTGATTCTTGTACCAAATTAAACTTCTAGAGCTCCTCGAACCTCCGAAACCCCTCCGCCCTCATTACAAGCCACTTGGCCCATCACTCACTCTCTCTCTCTTTCTCTCTCTCCTCTCCTTATTCCACTGACTATGCATGTTCCAAAAACAGCTCTACTTTTCATTTCAGTGCTACCCCCTACATTCACTACCCCCTCACCGTCAATGCCCAGAAAGTAACCCCCTACATCCTCAAGTCTGAGACCCTGAAGATGCAACTAACAGGAATGTTGGGGTGTGGCAATGTCTGGGTCCGACCAATAGGGCTGCCGGCAGCAGTATAAAACACTGAAGTTCAGTGAAATTGTTCGCTCTTTCTATCAGTCTATCACTCCTATGAGGAGGGGGTCAAAGAAAAGGGGGGCAGATTTAGACAGCAATCAGTAAAAGGAGCGGACAGATCCATTCAAGTAAGATCCTGAAGATCCTTCACTCCTGAAAGGATGGAGGACGCACACACCAAGGCCCCGGCTGATTGTCTGGCCTACTTCGGAGTTAGCGAAGCCACTGGTCTTAGTCCAGATCAGTTCAAGAAGAACCTGGAAAAATATGGCTTCAACGGTGAGATCATAAAGATGCATGCCGACTTATTTTCATGGAAAACTCTGAATGATGTAGAAAGCACAGGAGATTTGTTATTATTTCAGGTCTAAATGTTGAATTTGTGGATTCAACTTAATAAACAACATGATCTGAATATCTAAAAGTTGTTTTAGGGTTTTCTAAAATATTCACTAAGGCAAGGGAGATGTGATGCCTCATTCAATTAGATTTTTAGTTTTGTACACTTTATAAAAAAAATGGATTACTTTTTTTGTCAAAGTTTTGAAAAAAATGTCCAACATTGCTCTTACGTACTTTTAATTTGCTTAGCTAAGTGTGTGTCTGTCAATTGGTACAACTTTCAACAGTTCTTGCTTTGAAGCTTAGAAATGTGAGTTTTCCAAATTTGAATGCAGAATTCATGTTTAATTGTTTATCTTTTGGCTATTACAATGTTTTTTTTCTCACATTTTTATATTCTGATTAAACTATTGCTATTAAATATTCCATACTTCAAAATGTAGGATTTCTTGAATCCATGAAGCAAAAACATGTGCTAAATTCCTAAAACACCCTAAAAGTGGTTTTCTTTCATTTTCAAAATGGTTTCTTGATTGAGAGAGATCATCTGCTGTGTTGATGCTCACAAAAATATGTTTTTCTCTCCCTTTCTTTCATTTGAATATGTGTTTTTCAGAGCTGCCAGCTGAGGAGGGTGAGTATCATGCTAACAATGTCATAATTCCTCCCATTCATCTTAAAGTGTAGCGACTACTCAACTACACTCTGCCTTTTAGGAAAGTCCATCTGGGAACTGATCATTGAGCAGTTTGAAGATCTGTTGGTCAGGATTTTGCTGCTTGCTGCCTGCATCTCTTTTGTAAGTTAGTAGAAAATTGAAATTCTTTGGTGTAAACGCAAGCATATCTGAAGCTAACAAGAACTGAAGTGTCACAAAAAATGACCAAATTGTTATAACTTGGCAACCTCTTGATTGTGTAAATGGAACACATATTAAATTACAGAGACAGTGGAGTATCTACAAATGTTTCGCGTGACCAAATCAGACTCGCCAGCATTTAGTTTCCCTGTCTCTTGCTTTCAAACTTGAGTAGTGTGTGCCACAAACAGCTGTTGTGGAATAGTGTAGATTACCATATCACACTTACATCTGTAATATATACCATGGCCATCTATGGAGTAACGCGGTTTGTCATTTATTTTATCATCTTAGACTACATTGTACAGGAATAAAAAGAGCTTTATGTTTAGTGTGACACATGGCCTGCTTTGGAGTTCATTGATATAAATGTACATTTATTGCGAGTGTGACGCTATTTAACCCAGACTTTCTAAGCAGGAAAGATTCAGCGAGGTAGATGTTTAAGGGGTTCTGCGAGAATTAGGAGGTTAGGGGTTAACTTGGGGGGTATTAATGTCCTACACCCACCAAACTGCACCCCAAACAGCTGTTCCAATAGCCTTAGAAGGAAACTACCGAGGAGCTCAGAAGACGAGTGAGCAGGAGAAGGGGGTTATTTTAGGAAGGACTCAAGTTGAAGCCAGAAACTCTATCCTTTGAAAAGGTCAGGAGAGATGCAAGAAAGAAAGCAAAGCATGGGAGATATAACAGCGACTCTGTTGGGCAACAATATTGTGAAATATTGTTTGGAGGAGATTTTATGTATTCGTGCACTGCACAAGTGGAGACATTGAGAAATCAGATTAAATAGCATCATTGTGTAAAAATAGAAATGTATGTTTTCGTAAACAGTGGCCACAGCAAGCCGTTAAGCCAAAGACTGATGCTTCAAACAAATGTTACGACAGAGATAGACAAATCTTCTAAAAAGTCTATACATTAATAACATTTTTGAACTACATCCTTTGAATTTTGATGTTAAAATGTAAGAATTTTAGCATGAAATACTTCTAATTTGTTGCTTAATTTACTATTAAAGGAGCTTGATTCATTTTGTAAAGGAAATGATTAATTATATTTGTCATCATGCATACATACTTTGAGATAATACAGTTAAAAGGGCTAATCCGTTGAAAAATTCTGTAATTTGAAAGCCAGAGTTCACAACAATTACATTGTATATTGCATTTGTTTTTCAGGTTCTGGCCTGGTTTGAGGAAGGAGAGGAGACAATCACTGCCTTCGTTGAGCCTTTTGTCATTCTGCTCATTCTCATTGCTAATGCTGTCGTCGGTGTTTGGCAGGTAAAGGTCCAGCGACCCTACATCGGTGATGTCAAAAAGTCAGTGCAAGTCAACTGAACAAATGTTTTGTTTATACAACAGGAGCGTAATGCCGAGAGTGCCATTGAGGCTCTGAAGGAATATGAGCCTGAGATGGGAAAGGTGTACCGCTCTGACAGAAAGAGCGTCCAGAGGATCAAGGCCAGAGAGATTGTCCCTGGAGACATTGTGGAGGTGTCTGGTAAGGCATAGTAGCCTTTTTTCCTCTTCTTTATGGTGGTCTATCCATATACAAGTGATCAGGAAATTATTGTATTAAATTGCTGATTTGCACACTGCAATCAATGGAAAATCTCACCTACAAAGAATGTGATGAAGCTGTTATGTTATGTTCTCCACACGTAATTAAACTTAAATTAGAGTGTTTAGTAGATATGTCTATAAATCATCACTCTTTGTACGACTAAAAAGTTCTCTTTGATACGTCTCATAGTTGGTGACAAAGTACCAGCTGACATCAGGATCACTGCTATCCGCTCTACCACCCTCCGTGTTGACCAGTCCATCCTGACCGGTGAGTGCAACCTTTAGAATTAACAGTTTTGCACCACTCAAACCTCTTGACCCTCTTCGGGGGTCATAAAAGTAAAAAAAAAAATAAAAGAAAGTTGACAAAAAGTATAGGGCAATATATTGATACAATTTTGACAGTTAATTAAAATGTATTTGAGAGTTTAGGGATAAAACTTATTTCTTATTTTTTTCCTTGTTTTCATATTTCTTAGTTATTTCCGAAAACGTCAAACATTGAGCCTTAAAAACAAGTATCTAAACAAAGTAAAGTTAGTCGCCACAACGATGGCCCTGATGATGTAAAAAAAATTGCACTTTTTCTTGTTTTCTAAACTTTTCCTTTAATAAATATTTTTGCGCACTGATATCAAAACAGCAAATTGTTTAAGGTTATTTTACTGTACTTGTGTGTGATTTTAAATAACTTATATTACCTCAGGTGAGTCTGTCAGCGTGATCAAGCACACCGAGCCTGTCCCCGACCCCAGAGCTGTCAACCAGGACAAAAAGAACATGCTTTTCTCTGTGAGTTAACATCTGTACATTACGATGCTGTAGTTATTTTTCTATGTGACTCGAACTTTTGCAAAAGAACAAACAAGACTCTTAAATAAGTAAATGATGTACCACTACTTTCATCGTGGTTTTTTTTCAATGGGATGCAAAAACTTTTCTAAACTGGTGAAATCTAAGCTAAACATTAGTCTTTCTGATTATTATTATAGGGCACAAACATTGCTGCTGGCAAAGCTATTGGAGTTGCTGTTGCCACTGGTGTATCTACTGAGATTGGTAAGATCCGTGACCAGATGGCTGCCACTGAGCAGGAGAAGACCCCTCTGCAGCAGAAACTGGATGAGTTTGGCGAGCAGCTCTCTAAGGTTATCTCTCTGATCTGCGTTGCTGTCTGGATGATCAATATTGGCCACTTCAATGACCCCGTCCATGGTGGATCCTGGATCCGTGGCGCTGTCTACTACTTCAAGATTGCTGTGGCTCTGGCTGTGGCTGCTATCCCTGAGGGTGAGCATAACAATGGATCTGAAACATTTCACCTCATACTTTTATCCAATCCTAGGGCAGAACACACCAAGCATTTAAGGATGTTCAGTCCTAGACAAAATTATTAATTCCACAAACTGTTCTTTATTTTCAGGTCTGCCTGCTGTCATCACAACCTGTCTGGCTCTTGGTACCAGACGTATGGCCAAGAAAAACGCCATTGTTCGTTCTCTGCCCTCTGTGGAGACCCTGGGTTGCACCTCTGTCATCTGCTCCGACAAAACTGGAACCTTGACCACCAATCAGATGTGTGTGACTAAGGTTAGTGTTTCATTTATTACAGCCCTACTTTTTTCCATTAAGTTTTACTAAAACCTGGAACCTCTTTGTAGAGATACAAAAATATAAAACTATATTTAACTACCAACACTGTTCAAAAAGGTTTCAACCATGCTTTGGTAGACTCCAAACGAGCCAAAAGGACCTTGAATAAAGGAATTTATTCAAGTGTGTCTTCTGGGATTGAAGCTATGCAAGGCCATGGTACTTTCCTGTGGCTCAGTTGGTAGAGCATTGCGCTAACAAACATAAAGGTGGTGGGTTGAAATCCCAGGGAAAGCTAGAACTGACAAAAATGTGTTAATTCTTTCAAATGTTGCTGGATAAAAGCGTCTGCTAAATGTAAGGTGGTATGGAGTCAAATGTAAACATTTAGCCATTTAAGATCAACAAAAAAATTACCAGTGATGTTTTTCCAAAATGATCTAGTGGCAAACCTTGGATACCAGTTCTGCAAACATCTACTGATATTGATGCAATATGCATTTGACTGTAAGTTTACACTTACATACATTTCACTCACACAGCACAATTTTAAATAAACTTCCAATACATTGTGGTTACAATAATCTTAATCTGAGATTGAGAAAAAAAAACTCAATACAAAAAAACTCAGTTTGGAGCAGTAAAGATATTTGGGAAATGAATGGAAGAAAGATGGTTTAGGAAATAGCCTACCCTCTGTGCCCAAAGCCACCAGAGTTGACCAATAAACTATTACCAAGTTCTTAGAAGGAAAACTGTTCCTGAAAAGGTTATTGCCACACTTTGAAAAAAAACATACAACATAAGTATCACCCGAAACCCCCACTATAAACCTAGTCTTGGAAAGGACCACTTGATCATTATATTATTGGGTATTTATTTGAATGGGTTTCCCCCAAACCTTGTCAATAAACCATTATTTCTTTTATGCATCCATGATTATTGTATTTCATTAATCAGTTGGGATTATTTGTCAAGGAACCCTTTTTATATACAATATATTTTAAAAACTAAACTGATATTTTGTTGCAGCAATAATATTCACTCTTTCAAATTGTGAAATGCATAAACCCTTAGATGTATATTCTTCTTGACACTCGTTGACTAAGAGAAAACTCTTTATTGTTACAGATGTTCGTCATTGACAAAGTTGACGGCGATCATGTTGAACTTGATTGTTACGATATTTCTGGTTCCAAGTACACACCCGAGGGTGAGGTGTAAGTATGCAAATAATTACCACCAGTAAATTAACTGCATGTATTGGGTGGCTGATCTGAATTTTAAATGCCATTAATGTAATCTGGCTTCAGCACAAAGTTGGGTGCCAAAGTTGATTGCAGTCAGAATGATGGCTTAGTGGAGCTGTCCACCATCTGCGCCCTGTGCAACGATTCCTCCCTTGATTACAACGATGTGAGCATACACCCTCTTCTTTTGAGTTTTTACATACAACTGCTCGAAGACTAAACTAAAACTTTGTGCTATTACAGTCCAAGAAGATCTATGAGAAAGTCGGGGAGGCAACCGAAACCGCTTTGTGCTGCCTTGTTGAGAAGATGAATGTATTCAAGACCAATGTTGCCAACCTGTCCAAGGTTGAGAGAGCAAACGCCTGCTGCAGTGTAAGTAAAAGTGGACAAGCGTTTGTATTGTATTGTGAAACAGAACAATCTAGCTTAAACACCCATTTTATTCATGTGTAGGTTGTGAAGCAGCTGATGAAGAAGAACTTCACCCTGGAATTCTCTCGTGACAGGAAATCAATGTCTGTCTACTGCACCCCTGTCAAGGGTGACTCTGGCGCCAAAATGTTTGTGAAGGTTTGCCTCCCATCTCACTGTTTTATTGTTTTCACCACTGTATAAGAATCAACATGGCTAACTTACCAATATTCCTGCCTATGTACAGTAACAAACTCCATCTTCACTTGTTTTTGATACCATAGGGTGCCCCAGAGGGTGTTATTGATAGGTGTGCATATGTCCGTGTTGGAGCTACTCGCGTACCCCTGACTGGTGTTGTGAAGGATAAGATTATGGGTGTGATCAAAGAGTGGGGTACTGGCCGTGACACCCTGCGTTGCCTGGCTCTGGCCACCCGTGACACCCCCCTGAAGATTGAGGAAATGAACCTTGAGGACTCTACCAAATTTGCTGACTATGAGGTGAACAGCTCGAAGGAATAAACCCCACAAAAACCCATAACAAACACTTCAGTCCGTTGTGGAACATTTCCAAACAATGGGCGAGATTATAGTCTGTATTAAACTATGGATGTGAATTCAGAATTCCGATCAAAGGGTTTGTAAGTTCAAATTGGGTGTAGCATCACCTCTGAGTAATTGTAGTTGGATAAAGGGTGCACATAAGTGGGATGTAGGGGTGACAAAACATTTAGATTTAGAAAATCTTAGTATGTCTCAAATTAATGACTAAACTCAAAATTAGTTATATTAATTAAACCTATTGGTACCAAGATTTAAACATCTTTTTCAGCTGTAAAGCTGAGGACTTTAATACTGGTGTCAGTGGATATAGTACCGTGACCCTTATGCTTTTGAAGAGCTAATGTCCAGTAATCAGAAGACTCAATTATTTTACAAAACATTCACAATTTGTTTCTGTTGCTATTATAGATGAATGTAACTCCTAAATGTTACGTTTTTAAAAATTTGCAATTAATACACAAGTCTTTCATTGTTTTTAGAGAAGCTCTACTCAATTTAGTGATCAATGCTACGCTAAAAGTTCTATCAACAGATCTGGAGAATGGCTGAATATATTCAAAACAATACATTTATCTTGGGAGGAGATAGAGAAGCAAGCTATGTCAAAAAATGGAATGTTCCACAGGATGCTCATATTCTGCTGTAAAATTGGCAATTTTAACATGGGGACTGTATGAGATTGACTCCCTTTTGAAACCGTTCAGTTTTTTGACACTTATAGATTGGTTTCTCAGACATTGCTTTATGGTCTTACCCTTCCATCTCTTTTTAGACTGACTTGACCTTCGTTGGCTGTGTTGGTATGCTGGATCCACCCCGTAAAGAGGTCACTGGTTCCATTGAACTGTGCAAGGCTGCTGGCATCCGTGTTATCATGATCACTGGTATTCTTTTTATTACTTCTTTCATCATGCATCTCTTTATATCTCTTTAATAATTGCAACGACTGCAGTCATACAAAATTGATACCTTTAGGTGACAACAAGGGCACAGCTGTAGCCATCTGCCGTCGCATTGGCATCTTTACTGAGGATGATGATGTGACTGGCAAGGCTTACACCGGCCGTGAGTTTGATGACCTGCCCCGATCTGACCAAAGTGAGGCTGTGCGTAGAGCATGCTGCTTTGCCCGTGTTGAACCTGCCCACAAATCCAAGATTGTTGAGTTCCTTCAGGGCCACGATGAGATTACTGCTATGGTGGGAACCCCTACACCAGTACAATGTCACAAAATTCTAAGCAATATCTAACCCTAATTTTGTTATTGCACCTCTAGACTGGTGATGGTGTCAATGATGCCCCTGCCTTGAAAAAGGCAGAAATTGGCATTGCCATGGGCTCTGGCACTGCCGTTGCCAAGTCAGCCTCTGAGATGGTCTTAGCTGATGACAACTTTTCTTCCATTGTTGCTGCTGTTGAGGAAGGCAGAGCTATTTACAACAACATGAAGCAGTTCATCCGTTACCTGATTTCTTCCAACATTGGAGAGGTCGTCTGGTAAGAATCTACGGGATTGTTTAGTAACCACTATTGAAAGAGTTACAGAGATTGTTCTCTTTGTTATTGGTAATGATGCATCTACAACAAAATCTAGTTACCAGACCATCTAATGTTTCCTTTTCTCTTCTCACAGTATTTTCCTCACTGCGGCTCTTGGTCTCCCTGAGGCTCTTATCCCAGTCCAGCTTCTTTGGGTGAACTTGGTGACTGACGGTCTGCCCGCCACTGCCCTGGGCTTCAACCCCCCTGATCTTGAGATCATGGGCAAACCTCCCCGCTCCCCCAAAGAGCCCCTGATCTCTGGCTGGCTGTTCTTCAGATACATGGCCATTGGCGGTTAGTATCCTTGTTATGTCTGTGATCTTTCTACTCATTTGGTGTAACACGATAATTGGTTTGTTCAGGATATGTGGGTGCTGCCACTGTGGGCGCTGCAGCCTATTGGTTCCTGTATGATGTGGAGGGTCCTCAGGTCACCTACCACCAGCTGGTGAGAAATCAATCATCCGTTTTGTTATTTTGATAAAAAAGAAAAGTGTCAAAGGATGTTTTTGATTTGCCTGTCTTTGTAGTCTCACTTCATGCAGTGCCATGATGAAAATGAGGACTTCACAGGAGTTGAATGTGAAGTATTTGAGGCTGCACCCCCCATGACCATGGCCCTGTCTGTGCTGGTCACAATTGAGATGTGCAACGCCCTCAACAGGTTACAACTTTATATCCACTGCTCTTTTGTCTTAAAGTGGATATGATCAATGCTTATTCCTATTTCTCAGTCGGTAGAATGTTTTGACACAGAACATGATGGCTTCCTCTCTGCATCTTTCTCTTCAGCTTGTCTGAGAATCAGTCTCTTGTGCGCATGCCTCCCTGGAGCAACGGCTGGCTGCTGTCTGCCATGACTCTCTCCATGTCCCTCCACTTCATGATCATCTATGTGGACCCTCTGCCTGTAGGCCGCATACCTCTATCCTCCTCTACCTGACTACACTGTGTCTTGCCTGGCCACAACCTTCTTTTTTTATTGCAGATGATTTTCAGGCTAACTCACTTGAACGTTGAGCAGTGGTTGGTGGTACTCAAACTTTCTATCCCTGTGATCCTGATTGACGAGGTCTTGAAGTTCATGGCCCGTAACTATGTGGAGAAAAGTAAGATTTTGAACATATTAAAATAGGCATGCTTTCAGATAAAGACTAATTTAAAAAACGCTTTTTAATACCACATGCTGCCTCATTTTAATGCCTTTGTGCTTAATCAATTGCTTCGCCATTAACCAATGATATTCATTTCTAGACTGAACCATACCCAGCTCCCTTTTTTAACAAGGTATCCAGGTATTCAACTCGCGCAACGCTATTGTCTGCTTTCAGCATTTCTAAAAGTTTTCATGTTTTTATCCTGCTCACTCGTTGGAAATATGAGGCTGGAAACTGGTCTCTTTGCTCTCATAATGGTCTGGAATATCTAAAGCATGGAGCATGTTCGAATTTCTTGGTGATGAATTTTCAATTGTTTTTTACAAATTAGTTTCTAAAAAAACATAAAGCATCAATCTTAAGCAA